GGGCGGTGAGAGGATTCACCAGAGACAGAGTGGGGAGCAGAACAGGCAGATCGACGAAGTACACTGCTGAAAGGAGCAGCGGGCGGGTCAGGGGAAGTCTGCTGCGCCCTGTAGATCACCTCTGGGATGGGTGGGGTTTGCACTCACGCTAAAGTGGCTTTAGCTTCTTATTGCTGTGCTTCAAATCACTGTGCCACCAGGGAAGGTCCTGTATGCTTTTATTTTATGTTGAGGTTGGAAAATAGATGAAGAGATTTCTCTTAGGAAAAAAGTAACTGAGTTTGGGGGTCTAGGATGAGCAAGAGGGTGACCGTTTTTGAAGAGTTTGTTGCATTTTTAACTATAGTGCCTGTCCTTCCAAAGGGTTGATTTTTAAAGGCTAACTTTCACTTGGATGCAAATTTCTGGAATGCTTGCCTTTAGAAAGTAGCTACACTCTAGTTATCTGTTGCATTTAATATTTGAAAGTTCCAATCTTTAAAATAAAACATTCAGCAAAGGAAAACCAGATTACTGTGATGGCTAAAAGCTCACTCCCAAGATGATGTTAAGGACTTTGACTTAATGGGAAGAGCGTCAGCTTGCTAACTCAAATGCCAGAGTAAGTGCCCAATGCTTTTGGCATCATTTAAATCAAATCTGAGTTTAGTCATCAACGCAAGACAATTATGATTGCTTTTTGTCTTTTTTTAAAGTCACAAATAGAAAGAATACAATCAACCAGCTGGTGAGCATTTTAAGGATAAGCACTCTGTTCCTAACATCTGAGGTTGTACAGACAGGCGGCAGTTGATATTGCTGAAACAGGAGCTCACCCCAAAGACACTCTGCTGCAGGCAGAGCGGCACCTCTCGGGAACTCCATACCCACCCCCCACACCGCACCAGACCCAGGGCATTGAGGTTTTCACCACTCAGAAACAGCATCTTGTTTTCAAGAGCTTGCTTCATTTAATGAGCTTAATGAAGATGAAGTACACTTCCTACCTGGTTGCTGGGAAAATAAGACAATATTTGGACCCAAACAAGAAAACTGCCACTGTGCCCTGTGACTTGATGTCACACAACCAGAGTGGGAACGGAACTTTATGGGCATCAGACAAAGCCCTCATAATTATGGTCATTTCTCCTAAAAAATGTGGCTGGCAAGCCCTTCCAGAAACTTCACTTACTGAGGCACCATTGTTTCCTTCAGAAAACACGGATAACTTGTTTCCAGCGAAAGCCAGGATGTTACTCTCGCCCACGGGAGGGATGCTAAGTGTTATCACATGGAAGAGACTGACCAGTAAGGTTAGGTAAATTGCCAGTACATATGTATGAGATGGTCGTTTTGCGTTTAAACTACATCTTAAATGGTAAATACATCTTAAAAATATACTCATCAGCCCTCCCTGGTGGCGCAGCGGGTTAAAGCACAGCACTAAGAAGCTAAAGTCACTTCCACATGAGTTCGATCCCCGCCTGCCCCGGAGGTGACCACATGGCGCGGCAGACCTCTCCTGACCTGCCCGCTGCTCCCCTCAGCAGTGTACTTCGTCGATCTGCCTGTTCTGTTCCCTGCTCTGTCTCTGGTGAAGCCTCTCGCTGCCCCTGAACTTCTAACCTGTACCCCAGTTCTGTAAGCACAAATAAATAAATCTTTAAAAAAATTTTTTTAAAAATTAAAAAAATATATATATACTCATCAATATTTTACAACTCAATTTCTACAATGCACTAATTAATAAAAACATTTTTTTTTCTGAATAAAAGCTTTTACCTCTCCTTAATGGTGGAGACTGAGTTGCCATTTATCTCAAATGCAGAAGAAAACCCTTTGGCATCTCTTTGTCCTCTCAATTAAGTAGTTGTTAAAACACAAGCCCAGTAGGAAGTAGAACAGAAATCTCCACTTTTACCCACCATCAGACATGCTTTTTAAGATGTACAGGAAACACATCAGCAGACTCTTAATTTCAGACTGATCGAGTTTGTCACAGCGAACCACGGAATTTCCCAAACTGCCACTTTGTTGGTGCTGAAAAAGGAGAGAGAGGTGACTTTTTCTCTTGAATTACAGATAAAACACAATGAATTGCACTTTCCTCCCTTGGAAGAGAAAGTCTTGGAACTGAGTCGGAACACACAAGCTGGCAGCACCAGAGACAAGGACGCCTCCAGGCACACTTGCCGGCACACACGGGCCGTGGCCAGGGCCGGCTTGCCCAGCGGCATATTGTCCAAGTGCCGGGCCAGAAGGCAAGCCGGGGGCTGCCGCCCACGGTCTCAGCTGCAGCTTAGCTCCGAGATGCAAGTCCAACCTCATGCAAGAAAACACCATGTGCTGGAGTCAAACATGGAACGAGGGTTCGGAAGACACAGCAGAACCAACTGTGTCCTTGAGAGCACCACAGGGGATGAGAGCAGAAAGTGGGGTGTGGCTGCTGCCAGTCACACAGGCCAGGAGCTGGCTCTGAGCTTGTTGGGGGAAAGGATGCCCTGAAGGAGCTCTGCAGAGTTCTGTGGGCTCCACCCCTACTCCAGGGACTGGAAACTACAACTCCCAGCAGTACCAGGGAGAGAACAGCGAGGACCCAAGGGCAGAGCTAAGCAGGTGTTTTGGGACTTTTGGGGAGATACAAGGGAGCGACTGAGACTGCGCTCTTGCTCTCTGGACTGCGTGGCTCTCTGGACCACGGGGCGCTCTCTGGACGGCGTGGCCGGTGGCTGGGTGTCTGGCTCTTGATGAGCTATCAGTGTCCTGGGGTTCCAAGTCAGCGGAGCTGCTAGGGTGCTCTAGTTAAATTATACCTCTCTCTCTCTCTTTCCCTGGGTTGTACCTATTCCTGTCTCCTTTGTAAATAAACCCATTATTGACCCTGTTGTGTGTGCCTGCAGGACAAATGGATTATAAGCGTGCAGGTGAGGGCCCACAGACAGGTGGCCCAGTTCACACTGGATTGCCCTGGAACAGGCTGACCTCCCAGGCACCCCCAGGGACACAGGGCAGGTGCCCGACGGGACAAAGAGGACACCACATCACAGCACTGCAGAGACCCTCCACCGCGTGGTCACTCCCCACCGGCTTCACAACACTGCAAACATGAGAAAACTTGGGGTGAGGGGCCGGGGGTTTCCCACCGACGGCGGCTCCCGTGCCCAAGGGCTGCATTAAACACAGACAGCACGAGTCCCATCTGTGGTGAGAGCATGGAGGTGTCCGACCTCAAAGCTTGTATTTCCAATTGGCATGGGGAGAAATTTTTGCTAAGTCTCAAAGCAGCAAAATGAGTGAAAAATGATATGAATTTATTTAAGGGAGCCCAGGGGTGCCGTCCGTGGCAAAACCACCCGAGGGGGGACCCATGGGGGCCACCCACTTCAGCAGAGCCGCGAGGAGGGCTCAGGGCCCGCCGGGGTGGGGGGGAGGCGCCCGCGTGCACAGTGTCCACCAGCACGGGAGGGCTGGCTAGCAGGGAGAAGTCCACGGTGACCCGGTTCCTCCTGGCGGGCTGGCCGCTCGCATCCGCCCCAGTGCTGCGAATGACACAAGCTGAGTGTCGCCTGAGCAGCTTCTCCCTCTGCACGTGGAGGCATGGGAGGGTCAAGGGGAAAGGTCAAAGGTCAAAGGTCACAGCACACCTGCACTGAGACCGCATCATCAACATCATCATGTGATACCAGCCACGGGGACGAGGGATCGGAGCACCCCCCTGATCCCAGGCAGGGCTGTTCCACGGGTCTGGGACCAGAAAGACGCCCGAGGCCTCTGTGTATCGGCAGCCGGAGTAACTCGGCCAACAGTGGCCGAGGGTGCACCCACCTGTCCTGCTTTAAATTGCAACTTGGGGCCCTCCCTGGTGGTGCAGTGGGTTAAAGCACAACACTGCAAGCTGGCTGCAGCCACTTCAGTGCAAGTTTGATCTCCGCCCAGAGCTGACCCACATGGCTCAGCAGACCTCTCCTGACCTGCCCGCTGCTCCCCTCAGCAGTATGCTTTCTCCATCTGCCTGTTCCAGTTCCCCATTCTGTCTCTGGTGAATCCTCCCACTCTCCCTGCGCCTCTGGCCTGTATGCCAGTTCTGTATGTACAAATAAGTCAATCTTAAAAAGAAAAAATAAACTGCAACTTGACCTCTTCCCACAGATCTCCAGACAGTCTAAGACTTTGTTGTTTCAAGGAGAAAAGGTTAAGGAGGAAGAGGCACTGGGCAGGGTTTGGGGATGTAGTGTAAGCAGTGATTTCAAATCAAACCTCATCCCCCCGAATCACCTTTAGGAAGGGCTCATCTTCTCGGGAGCGAGCTTTGCAACGCACCCCCACTGGCATGGGAAGCTGAGCTCCAGTGCTGTTCTTTGGCACACAGGCTGTGAGGTGGTAAGGCAGAGCCTGCAGCCCCATCTGTGTAAGGTGCTCCACTAACACCTCAAGGTGCCCCCTAGCAACACTGTTGATGTGCAAACACGGACCTGAGACTTTCAGACAGGTGCCCTCCTGCCACACCCCCCCGCCCCGCAAGATAATACTCTGAGCCTATCTACCCAGGCTAGCTGAATTGTTTAAAAAAAAATATTGCACATGAAAAAAGAACATGAAACACATCGACTTTTTGGATTAAAACCATTAAACCCAAGACACATTTAAGTTACAGGAAAAGACGCTGTTACCTTATCCAGGGAATTGCTTTTCTCACTATTCCTTTCTGGAAGGCTGTTTCCCGAATCTGTGCTTATGAGGGATCCTCTTGAATCAGCGTTTCTCACACTATTGATGTTGGGAGTTGATGTCGTATATGGAGAAGCTAAACAGAAGCGAAGCCAAGACCAAGACTCGGTGAGGCACAGGACGATGAAGGCTAAGTACTGAACTTTAAGCATAATCACTCTAATTGCATTTATTTTTTGTTATTGTTGTTGTTAAGAAGAGGCTCAAGAGTGGCAATATTACTATGGAGTAAGATAAAAGCAAATTTTGAAACATTCAGATGCAATGATCAATCCGCATATGAACAGCCACCTTTGCCTGGTGAGACTTAAGGAGCACCTGCTGTTTCAGAGAGGGGTAGAATGAAGACTAAACCTTTTGAAAAGGTAAGTCCGCCTACACGGTTAGATAGGAACATTAAGCCAGCAAGGAGCCCACGGGGTCTACAGGGTGCTGCCTTGCTCAGGAAAACCCAGAGGGGTGCGTGGGGCGCTTTCAAATGTCAAGGCTAACAAACACAGTACTCAACACCTGCTGGAAACTGCATTTCTGATGCTGAGATCACCCTACACATCTTTCAGTGGTGTCACAGCCTTGTGAGGGTGGGTAGCTGGTGGCTGTCAGGAGAGGATCAACTGGGTAACTGCGATGAGGGAGCAGGAAATGATAATCTGAGTCCAAATCCCGACAGGCACACTCATGGCACGAGTAATAGCTGTGTTTATTAAAATCAAACATTTTTCTTTAAATTTATATGCATTTCCCCCCAAATGGCCATGAAGGTGTCAAGTAAAAGTACTCATAAAACGATCTTCACTTGAGGACCTAATAAACAGAACTAGTGGGTGCAGCTTTGGGGCTTGGTCTTTATGATAAGGTCTCTGACAACACCGGAGCTTTGACCCGAGAATGCTGGCGACTGCCACAATGAGTGAGGAGTGGAAAGGGACGCTCACGTAGACATATATTTTGACAACCATGAACTTGTTGTCAAAAGCATTTGAACAAGCATCCGCCTTGGGACTGAGGAGTTTTTAAAGTAGTAAATTGACTTCCTGCTTAGATATTGGTTAAGTAAATCATATCAATAAAAATGACTCTAAGAAATGTATATTCTCTGCTGAACCAAAAGTTTTGCTTCCAGCTGATGGGCTGGCTGGCTGGCTGAGAATCTGCATGAAGACACTTGGCTGCTGGCTGTAAGCACAGCCTTCCCTGCCTGGCTGAAGTGCCCAAGCACCTTCTCCCTACCCACACTTTGTCTTACCCACCATGTTACAAAACTCTCATGAGTCCCTCAAAGTGCTTCAGGGAGTTGAGATCAAGAAGAGAAGAGCCAGGGGAATATGAAAACGTAAGGGAGAGCTGGAATCTAGAAACCACAGACCATAGGTTGTGGGTCCCCAGAATAGAAGCTGCGTGACTGATTTCACCAGGGCAGGTGACAGTCCCATGAAAAAAATGAGCTATTTCTCAGAGAGAAAAGAAACGCACATTATGACCAAATTATAATTCTAGCCTTCTTAATATAACTGACTTCATATTTAATTGAGAAACAGACAGCGGGAGAGAGACATCCTCAGTAAAGTAAAATTAGATCCTAAATGATCAGTTTTAGGCTCGTTTCCAGAACTAGAGTCCTAATCAAAGGACGAACACGCAATGAATCAAAATGCACACACTGAGTAGAACTGTGTTGTGTGTGCATGTGGTGTCAGTCCAGTGCATAACTTTCCAAGATCTTAAACAAGATGTAAGTGAAATGAAGATAAGTCCAGATTCTCTTCCCACATCTGTACAGACAGCCCATTGCCATGGACTGAACAGGTGGAACAAGAACACTAAGTCTAAGAATGAGAATGTTTGAAAATGAGCATCATCTTCGAGTAGTTTTTATTCAGCTATCAATCAGTGTTAGAAACTCATGCACCATGTTACAAAGACATCAAACACCCACCACTGAGGGGGCTTAACATGTGCGGAAACAGCATTTCTCTAGGGAGAAAGTCTACTCTTGAAGGGAAAGCACAGGGGCCAGCATGACTGCAAACTCCTGGGTGAATAAAAGAAGAGCTGCTACAGCAACTGAAAAACAAGGACAGCCCGTGGAAAGGTCAGGCTTCACTGGAAGCCCCTCCAAAAAGAATGCATCCCCCAAAGGGCACAAAGACAGGCCTTTAAGGATGGGGGAAAACAGAAATAAAAAATGCTAAAGGTCTGTTGTGAACTCCTTGAATTTTAAAAGACTAACAGCCCCCATCAAGCACTTTCCTAACTTTGCCATGAATGCAGACGCCTTGCAGACTGAAAAGGTGCTCGATGGCTGCCCAGACCCAAACAACAGGTGCTGACCGAAGAAGAGAATGTGGGACAAAGCAGCGGAACTCCTGCGAGACGAACTTGCTATGTAGCAGTCAGGCAGAACTGAGCGCTTCCCCCCGAGCACTGTGCACCGACTTGTGCAAATCATCCCTTGCTACAGCTCTTCTGGTGACGTGGACACTGAAGGCCAGCACGAGGAGTGGACGGTGGAGTCCACACCTGGAGTTCTACCTGTGATTTCAAAGCTAATGTTGTGAGCCGCCGCTCACAGCCGCTGTCCTCTAAGGACAGCCCGACCCACTCCTGCAGCATCGACTAGACGTGCGGTCAGCGAGCGGTCAGACAAGGCCTCAGGAGGCAAAGACATGGGGCCCCACGCACCAGATTCTGTGCTGGGCGCTGTGCAGGGACAGATTTGCCTCAGCTTTAAGAGGACGGTGAGGTTAAGTATTACACCAGAACTGGACAACACCAAGATTAAGGATGGGGTCGTAGGTACACCTGGGCATGGTGGGAGGCTTCCAGGTTTGTTTTCTGCCCAGAGCGAGCCTTTACCCTACCCTAGGAGTCCGCCCCTTGACTCAATGTGTAAAATAAAGAGGGTGAACGCAGATGAGTCAGCCTGTGAGTCCCTGGAAAATTCCGCCAAGATACTCATTTTGCTCCTTATCCTGATGGAAATGGCACATGGGCTCCGCCAGCCAGAATATTAATCAGGACACTTCTCCGGCATCTTCTTATGGAGAAACTAGGAGATTTGAATCTCGATTTCGGCCATCTGTTATCCTCCCTTTGGGGGCTGCGCTTACTATCTCAGCAGGAAAAAATTCTCGGATTTCAGGAAACCAATTTTGAGACTGCAGGCTCCTTACAAGGCGCTTTATCCTTCAGGAATGACTCCCTCCGTTGTGTCCACATCACTTAGCTACCAGTAAGTTCTACCCACCCCCACACACCCCTGCACAGACAGACCTTTCCCGAAAGCATGCACCACCCAGTGCAAAGCTCTGGCGCGATCCATTAACCCGAAGCCAGAGGAGCGAGCAGCCCGGATTCAGACTAAATTGTGCTCTGCTCTGCTCTGCTCAGAGCTTGAGATCTTGAGGCTCCTTATTTCAAGGTAGGGTGGAGGGGTTTCTATCCTAAGTCTCAATGCAAGAAAAAGAACATTCACAGCAGGAATTCTGAGTTCCAAGTTCTAATCTGAAAGCTTCAGGTGCTAAAGCAATCGCGGGCTGAAAGACACTGAGCAAGAGCCAGAGAGCAGAAGAGCGGGGCGCAGTACCCATGCCGGAGATGGCGCCGAAGAGCTCCTTGTGCAGGCTGGCATCGGGCGCGCCGGCTGACTTCTGCGGCGTCACTAACGGGTTCGCCGCTGGCAACACGAGCGACTCCTCCTTCGCGGCCTGTCAGAGGGGGAGAGGGAAGAAGAATCGAAGATGATTTAAAAGCCTCCTCCGCTGCCCTCGGAGGGCGAGCCAAGCGCTAAAGCAGCAGCTTGGCAGGCGTTGCTCCCAGGGAACAGCAGCCCTGCCCCACTGGGCTGCAGGGATGGAGGCGCCTGGGAGGCGGTGAGATGACACTGTGGACACCTGGAGCCCCCAGCTTGTGGTGCTTTGTCACAGCTGCCAGGAAAGACACACAGATGTGTCTGTGCAAATGCATACGTACACTGCCCGGGTTCACGGGGAAAGGAGAGACGTCCCGCACGTTGATCCGCTGCACATTTTCAATCAGCAGACCAAAGAGAGGCAGGTAGAGGGTGGCTATCCTGGCCTGATGGCTCTGTAACAAAGGCACACCTGTCAGTGTCGCTGGGGCCGCCGCTCTGCTCCTGCAGGCCACCCCCACTGTGCGCGGGTCCTTCCTGAGCGTCTGCTGAGATTTTGTTTCATAAACAGAGACATCTCGGCCCTCCCTGGTGGCGCAGCGGGTTGAAGCGCAGCACTAAGTAGCTAAAGCCACTTCCGCATGAGTTCGATCCCCGCCCACCCCGGAGGAGATCCACAGGGCGCGGCAGACCTCTCCTGACCCGCCCGCTGCTCCCCTCAGCAGTGGACTTCATCCATCTGCCTGTCCTGCTCCCTGCTCTGTCTCTGGTGGATCCTCTCACCCCCTGCACCTCTGACCCCCTGCATAAATAAATAAATAAATCTTAAAAAAAAAAACAGACATCTCAGTGCTGTCAGCCACTAATTTTCTACTTGGTCAGTTTCTATATATTACTTAAAGGACATGTAGCGATCCAGATTTCCTTTCCCGGGGTCCCTCACCCTTGAAGCGTATCGGTCATCAAAAGAATGCTTTATCAGCAAGTTCTTGAGCACGCTGATGGCGATCAGCCGGACGTCGCGGAATTCCTGGAGAGCGGCGCCCACCTCCCTCAGTAACAGCCCCACCAAGAAGTGGTTTCTGCAGAACTCGTCCGTCAGGGCATAGTCCAGCTGGAGATCTGCCGTGAGAACAGAGGCTGCGTTAGCACGCAAGACGCACCGTGCTGAAGAGTTAAGCCCCAGTCTGCCTGGGATCCCGCGCACCCAGCCGGCGAGCTCAGTCGCTCCCAGGAAGGCGTCTGTTGCCTAAAATGCCATGCTGCCTCTTAACCCACTGGACTCTTAAAGCCAAAACTTAAATGCAAATGGTAACATTGGACTTTGATTTCGAAACAAACTTTGCCTCATAAGATATTTGAAGCTAATAGTAGTTTTAGTGCAATTTTTAGAATACAGAGCAACATCTGTTACATGAAAATGCATTCTCATTAATGGCATAAAGGTAAAAATAAAGGTCGTTTACAAATTGACAGGATTATAGAAGAATAACCTATAAGGTAATAATACACAATTAAAGAAAGAATAAATATGAGGGACTATTCAAATCTTTTTTACTGCATGAGTCACTTATCCATAGCCTGGTCATTTATGCCTATACTCTCATTTAACCCTCTGTGTTTAGGGGACCTCCCTGGTGGCTTAGGGGCTAAGTCTCAGTGCTATTACCACTACGACCTGAGTTCGATCCCCGGCCAGGGAGCTGACCCACATGACGCGGCAGACCTCTCCTGTCCTGCGCGCTGCTCCCCTCAGCAGTGTATCTCAGTCCATCTGCCTGTTCTGCTCCCCGCTCTGTCTCTGGTGAATCCTCACCCCCTGCACCTCTGGCCTGTACCCCAGCTCTTCTACACAAAACAAAATACCAATGAGCTTATAACAAACAAGTTAGCATATCACCTACTTTAATTTGGCTATGGCTGAGTAGAGAACTTAGTGTGGGATTTAAGTGAAGGTAATGTTAACAATTCTGTCCCTCCAGAAGCAACTAGAAAACTAAGGTAAACTTAAACTAAAAGGACAGAGCATTCAACCAAAGTAGTCAATCATGACCAAGCTAAACGACAAAGTCTCCAGCTCTTCTGGGAAAAGGCAGGAGCAGGCATGGACTTTCCAAGGAGCGCAGTGAATGCCGAGGCGCTCTCAAACTGTGGGCGCTGTGCTCCGTGAGCTTCGCTGGGCTGGACTCTGACGCCAGCTCCATTATCAAAGGGAGATCTACAGCCTCCCCTCTGACTTTCATTTCCCACTAGATAGTTACTCTGAACCTATCCCAAAGCTGGTCCAAGTTCTGGGAAACCCTTTAGCAGAAACAAGGGAACAGGTTCTTCCCAGAATAGCAATGTCCACTGTTTGTGGTTGTCAAGCCCACTCTGACACTCTGTGCGCTCTGCAGACCCTGAATGGCTTCCGGTTGACTCACTTCTTCAGGATAAACATCTGGCCTTGCTGGGTCGGGGAGCCAGGCACTGACACACGCTCGCCCCCAAACCATCTACCCGGCAGCCAAGGAGAACTCCCTCAGCCCCCGGACAGGTGGGCGGAAATGGCAGTCCCAGTGCCCAAGTAGAAGTGGGGTGACCTAGGGTGTGGTTTTGAGGGTAAGGTAGGGAGCGATTAATTCCAGAGGGATGCTGGGGGAGAATGGGGAGACGACCTGGCAGTCCCAGGGGAGGAACTCAGCGAAGGCTGGGGAGGAAGATGAGGACTCCCCCAGGGAGTTGGATGGTGATCTGAGGTTGAGGGGTGATGGGGGGCATGCCTATTTGAGCAGCCAGGGGAAGCAGGTGTCTCTGAAATGTGGGGGGTGGGGGGCAGACATTAGGTGCACTGACTGCCCAGCTGTTCCCTTGTCCAGAGGCTCAACCCCTCACTTTCTCAGATTATCACCCCCAAATCACCTTCTGGCCAAGGCTTTTCCTGCCCACCCTATCTCAAATGCCACCATTTCATGCTCTTCTCCTAGTTTATTCTTTTCTTTTTAGCTCACTTCACCTGCCCCCTGCGTACACAGCCAGGGGTGAGCACCTTGCTCACAACTGTCCCGGGCTGCCCCAAGTCTGTGGGGTCAGGAATGCTGATCCCAGGCCACACCTCACCTTCTGGGTTCCTCAAAACCTCACTGAGTCTGTCTGGGGCATGCTGTCCAGGACTCTGAACGAGTGCCTAGCATGTTAGTGCCCTGCGTGTTTCTCTCCGAATCTCAGGGCCATTGAGGTGACAATGGTGTCCTTGTTAGTTTGGGGGTGTCCTTCCACCATTGCTCTCCTTCAGCCTAAATTAGTCTGAGCACGTACAAGGCACCAAGCTCAGTTACTGCTACTTGACAGACATGGCAGGCCAACCTGACTCACTTGACTCGCTCCATGAAGACAAACCTCTATGAGCGTACCACTCTCCAAACACAGAGGACGCAGAACAGTTCATAGAGGCTCAACATGCAGACATGAAAAGCACGTGGCAAGTCGCATTGCCGGAGCTGGAGGCCACCGCCATGGCTGTGGACAGGGCCGTGAGAATGGTGGAGTGCCATATTTTCAGAGAAAGGGTTTTTTGCTTGTATTACTCCAAAAGAGATATCCAAGGGGACCTGATGACTCCAGGAGCAAACACAAGCTGTCTCGTGGGGGTGCTGCAGTACTGAGAACAAAGCCACTGGTTAGCCTGGGCGTAGCCGCTGGGCTCAGTGTACAGGAAAGAGCTACACGAAGAGCGGATGGAACGTCTCAGCAGCCACTTGCATTCTTTTTCTTTTGGAGGAGACAATGCAAGAAAGCAGGCATGAGTGCCCCACACCTACCTACAGGAGTGCCACTGGACTCCAGAGATGGAGAAAGAAAAGCTAATTCATAAGGAAAAAGGAAAATTAAAACAAACATAAACTACGGTAAATAAAACGGAGTCTAGCTTTATAGCAAAGGACATTTCTCAATGAAAAAGAGTCACACTGGCATGATCTCTGATCTAGGTTTGATAAAAATAAGGTCCCATAAGATATTTTATTTATGATTTTTAAAAGTAGAAGTTTCACAAAGAAGTACATTAATGCAAGAAAAAATATCAAACATTCTACTAATCACCTCTGAATCAGTTCCCTTCACTATTAAGAGTAAGTGACTCTCTGTGGAAAGATTAAGACGAATACAGGTAAAGACGATTACCTTGGTATCTTTGAATCCTGCCTTTTCCAAAAGGCATTGGCAAATTCAAGGGGATATAATGTTCATGATTACACACCACACGGAGAAATTCAAATTTGTACTCGAAGAGGGTCTGCGGAAAGAAATGTTTAGATGGACATTAAGTACCTGACAGCAGACATCACACAGTTCCCGAAAAATCCTGGAGGGAAAAATAAGCCCTTTCTCTGCCTTGTTGGCTCTCTTGGATATGGCCAGTCTATGCTATTTTATAGATTTTCCAACAATTACAGATCTCAGGAACTGTTTGAGGATGAGGAACACCCTCCCTTAAACCATGTCCTCCCCTGACTTTGGGGGCATTTATTATTCATGCAGATCCTGCTTCATAAGGATTTTGGGCAGCTTATAATTCTAGACACAGACTCAATACAATATAAAAAATGAATAAGGCAGAGGCTTAAAGGAGACACACGTGAGGGAAGAGACAGAATTCTACCAAAGATGCTGAGGCTATTTCTGTGAGATGATTAAATAAATTATGATTCACTACATAGATTTCTAGTTTCGTAGTTGAGAAGCCATTTCAGGTTGATGAGTAAAATCAATAGGTGTGCTCATTTCACGTGTGGAACCAGTGCATCCCTAAGATCTCATCATGCAAGCAAGTCCTCTTCAGTAGTTAGTATCTAGAAGACGGGGGCAGGGGGTTGGGGGAGTGAGTGGTGCTTCTCGAACTACGAAATTTCAGACATGAACCAAGGGAACTCGAGGTGGGTTTCGGGGTGAGAAAAAGTGAGAGCAGGGACACAGAGGGGCACACGGATGCTACCTTTGGGTCCCCAGGCGCAAAGCAGCTGATGTAGTTATTGATCTGCTTGAAGACGAAGCCCCTGTCCATGAAGGTGAAACATCTCTGTGGAGCAAACAACCCCCAGTGGTAAGTATTTATGGCCAAACATTTTTTTTTATAAAGTTGGATTTTAACATTTATTCTTAAGAGGCTTATTCTTTAAAATATACTTTAAGATGTAAAAAATAAATTCTTTTAAAATATAAAAAAGTTATTCTTTAGTAGCAAACATGCCGCTGGCAGTGATGTATCAGTGTGACATGTCACATGACTTACGAAGGCCTGTGACGCTTACTAGGTTCTGGTGAGTGAGGGAGGCTGTATTTGATGGGGGGAGGAGGGGGGGCAATAGGCTGTGCCCAGAGCACAGCAGGTGAGACCAGCGAGCCTGGGGAGGAAGGCGGGAGAGCCCCCCCAAGCCGTGAGAGTGCACCATGAGTCCACACAGGGCAGGTCATCCACATCGTAGGCGTGACTACGTTCTAGAATAAGGGGTCACTTATCCAGCACCCTCTTGACAGGGATCCCCACCTTGATGAAGACAGCCAGACTGTGATTTGCATTCTTAGACGCCTCTGGGTTATCTCGAAACTTCTGAGTGATGTGTGGCATCAGCATGTTCACAACCGTCTCCACCGCGTGGTGAAAGGACGCAGGAAATCTCTGGTTCCGTAGCAGCTGAGAAGAATTGAGGCCAAACGTTTAGTACTTTTTTTTTTTTTAAAGATTTATTTATTTATGCATACAGAACTAGGTACAGGCTAGCGGCTCAGGGGTGGCGAGAGGCTTCACTAGAGACAGAGCGGGGAACAGAACAGGCAGATCGACGAAGTCCACTGCTGAGGGGAGCAGCGGGCGGGTCAGGAGAGGTCTGCCACGCCATGTGGTCACCTCTGGGGCAGGCGGGAATCGAACTCATGCGGAAGTGGCTTTAGTTTCTCAGTGCTGTGCTTTAACCCGCTGCGCCACCAGGGAGGGCCTGTTTAGTACTTTTTTAAGGTTGTAGCCTTTGGTGGGAAGAGCTCTCATCCCAGAGTCCACTTCCGAAATGCAGAATTCTAATTTTATTAGTCTGAAATTAAGTGAATGGTTCTACTGTGTACTCTACAAGGGTTTTCAGCAAGTACTGTGGATCAGCCCTAGGATCTCAAGCCTCAGCATGATACAGACAGCCTGGGAGACGTTTCTGAAAACGTGGGGCTTTTCCAGAGTGGATGGAGATTCTCGTTCGCAGCTTGGCGGGAGGTGGGAGAGAGAGGAGCTTCCTGCTGAAAACCCCACAATGCCTTTGTAGGGTCTCTACCAGATCTGCTGAGTTGGCCTTCAAGCTCCCCATCTCCTCACTGCTTCTGAGCTAATCTAGATGGCCAGCTTCCCCTTCTATTCTCAGCCTGAGTTCTGCCACAGAGCAAGTCCCAGGGGCCTACCTGGTGGTGAACCCTTCCTCGCCTACTGCTCGGCCCCCTCGCCCCTAGAGGGCGCCCTCCAGGCTGAGGCGTCCTGGCACCTCTGCTCCACGTCACTGTCCTCCCACTCTCCTCCAACCGTCCCAAGCTGAAAGGCTTCTATTCCCAAGGACTGTGGCATGCTCAAGGCTGTGGCCAGCCAAACCACGGGACCAGGCGCTGGTCACGGAGGGAGCTGGGCGCCTAACACTTCCCATCACAGAGGATGGTGCTGACACAACTTTGACCAGCCCGGACAGTCCACTTAGAACACGGGCCAGTCTCCTTCCACTTCCAATTTCCTGGCTCCATTAAGCCAGACAATGGCTGAAGGCTGGATAAGGAACAGCGGCGGGTAACACACGCCCTCCCGCCCTCCCCGGTGCCAGGTTTTCCAGCCTCAAGAACACCTGTGGGATGCCAACAATTTGCTTGATTCAGCGTGGGAGGAAAGGAAGTTCAAAATGAGTCTGCCGAAATTATAGTTGCTAAATATATGACAGAAAAGAGACACCTAAAAAAAAGGTTGACCACTGAGGCAGAGCGCCGGAGGGAAAGCGCCTGAGGGCCTCAAGAGGCTGTCTTTGCCTCAGCAAACGCTGATTGTAAATCCCAGGCGCATATCACCTGTTACGGTCTAGCACAGTCCGATGCCATCAGTCCACACTCGACAGCCCATCTGTGGTAGTAAGGAAGCTGCTAATTTCGGATGCTAGTTCAAAGCAGGCCAGAATCCACCGCCTTCCTCAGGAAAGTGAGAAAGTGCAGTCTGAGTGGTGGGGTGCATGTGTGCCTCCCACCTCCAGGAAGAGGGCAAGGCTGGTAGCAAGCATGGCAGCTTGCAAACGTATCCGTCCGCACAGGCGTGCCCAAGAGGGGCCGCCCCGTTAACGCCAGGCATGAGCGCGTCGTTAGGGTCTCAGCTCACAAATGCAGATTTGCTGCCGATCTCCTGACAGAGGGCACCTTCTTTGCAAGATGAAATGCACCACCAGGGCCTAGGTAATGAGAACCACGGCTCGGGTGCCCTGCAAGACAGGTGTGTGCCTGGTCAGGCCACTTTAAGAAAGACTCGTCAATGAGGAAAAAAAAGAAAAATCAAGGCCAGGGAATTACGTTAGTGCCATTCTGTAAGAAACCTCCAGGATGATGAACACTGAGAGGGCTGGGCGCTGACTTTGGAAATCATGACAGTGCAGGACTGGGGAACTGAACTGTCCCCTCAACTCCGAGCACTGGGGTTGGGACTAGGACATCCGATTCTTTTTTTTTTTTTTTTAAAGATTTATTTATTTGTGCATACAGAACTGGAGTACAGGCCAGAGACTCAGGGGCGGTGAGAGGCTTCACCAGAGACAGAGTGGGGAGCAGAACAGGCAGATCTACGAAGCACACTGCTGAGGGGAGCAGCGGGGGGTCAGGAGAGGTCTGCCACGCCATGTGGTCACCTCCGGGGCAGGCGGGAATTGAACTTATGCGGAAACGGCTTTAGATTCTCAGTGCTGTGCTTTAACCCGCTGCGCCACCAGGGAGGGCCAGGACATCCAATTCTTAAGATGCAAACGTAAGAGAGACCTAAAGCGACTAACACCAACAGGTTCTGCTCCTAAGCAATCTGGGAAACTGAATGAAGGCTTCTGGAAAGGGGAGAGAAGCTCCCAGATCGATAATGTGTGAGGCAGAGGCGGCACGGAGCAGAAACCAGGGTGCCTTCAGCAGCCGCACGCTGCGTCTCCTTGTGCTAAGCAGGCGTCGGCAGCTTTTTATAGTAAATTGTGTTACCATTACGCCTTCTCCTTCTGGGTGCTAGCTTTTTTTTTTTAAGCTGGATAACAATTTTAAAATAAACTACTTCTAAAAAGTCTCAATATTGTTTTAGGTCCAAGATATAATTAACATACAGCAAAGGCGCTGGGTGGTAGCATCTGCCGGGTGTGTAGTTCCAGACACAAGCGTTTGCCCAGAGGTGCAGGAGAGCGAGCTGCCAGGCTGGGAGTGGCAGCCCTGGGGTGGGGGGAGAGGGGGGCGGCTGACCCCGCCCTCTGGTCTCCACCTATGTGTCCACCCCAGGCGCCACGTGGTCCACACCACTGACTGACCACAGGAGTTGTGGGAGGAAATGGATCAGCAGGTTCCTACCTTCTCTGGTTAATCTGACATCTTGAGAAAAGAATTCCCTTATTCTTGAAAAGATGTCGCGGATACTTGATTTTAAATACCCTTGCTGAGAGTGGCTCATAGGGGTGTAGTACCCCCTGGACTCCAGGAGGGGGACCCAGAGGTCTGGCTACGCAGTGTCCCCTAAGCCGTGGTGATGTCATGGTGCCCGAGTCTGGCAGGCAGTGAGGCATGAATTCTTGGCACAAGGTGGCTACAATTTTCACATGGAATCGAGTCACCCGTCTCTCTGAAGGGGTAGCATTTATTTGCAACCAGAAATTGAGAAATCCGGTAGGGCCTTCTTAGGGCTGATCTGCGCCCCCTTAAATGCCCATGGGTGAAGTCTTACCCCATACTGGGGCCTGGGGCTCCCGAGGGGTAAGATAGTTACAAGCGAGGCCGTGAAGGTGGGTCTCGATCTCCCAGGACTCGACTGGCGTCCTTGCGAGAAGAGGAGCGAGGCTGGGCCAGCAAGGGGAGAGGCCTCGTGAGCGCACGGGAGACGCGTCACGACAGGTCCAAGAGCGGACCGGAGGGACCAGCCCTGCCGGCGCCACGCCCTCAGGCTGGCAGCCTGCAGAGTGGCACAGAAATGCGGTCCCGTTGCTGCAGCCTCTCCGCTGCGGTACTTGTGACTGCAGCCGCAGCAAACCAGGGCAGAGCTAAAGCCTACCCGCAGATACCAACGTCTCTAACAGAAAGGCCACTCGGCCAACTGGCGGGCACGTGCCCGCCTGCTCGCTGCCAAGCAGACAACCTGCTGGCTTAGTCCCTGGCAGGCCGTCCTGCAGCATTTAGATGGTGCGTTACGCTGCGAAGGCACAGCCCACCTCCATCTGCCGTCTCCCTGAGCTCTGAAACTGGCTTAAGGGGGAAAGGGAATGCTCTGGCCAGGCCCTGGCACTGCTCTCCTTGACCAGAGGCCCGCCTGGCTCTGGGTCCGTAGTCTCCCGGGGCTCCTCCAGGGGCGAGACCCTCCCTCCTTCCTGCTTCCGCCGGGGAGACCCCTGAGGCCCCTGAGGCCCCCCAGCTGGGCAGACCCTCCTGACAGCTCTGAAGCGGGCAGAAGCCCAGTGTTCACGCAGCCCCGGGCTCTGCATGTCTCACACGGCAGGAACACTGGGACAGGACACCACGTCCCGCGCGCTTAGGTAAATCTACGCTGAGCTTCACCCGCCGCACTGTGAGTTCAGGCCTCTCCTGGCAGAGACCAGTGTGCTGGGGGCAGTGCAGGGACCCGGGAGAGAGGAGGCGCTGGGGAGACCGAGTCATCTCAGAATCCAGGCACAGGTTCCAGAGCGGGTGCCGTCAGACACTCTCAGCTAAGGCCTTGGGAGAGCTCTTCCTGTGCAAGGTGCTTAAGACACACCAGCCGCGCCTTTAATTCGTGCACACGCTGCTCCTGCACCGACACACTTGAAGATTTCTAGGCTGATGGAGAAGAACGCGTCCGCGGGCTAAGCGCGGAGTTAGAGGCGCGGGCTTGCAGCCAGCCTGTCTGCAGCCGGCCGCCCCCACTCGCTGCCCCCGTGGCCTTCGGCGAGCGGCACAGGCATCCTGGCCTCAGTTTCCCCGTCTCTAAAATGTAAGATGGTCTCTTCTCCCCCCCCAACACACAGGGCTGGAGCCAAGTTGTTCCACACTAGGGAGGCACGTGGGCCACCGCCGTGGCACACACAAAGCACCACGGGATGCTTGCCACAAACACACAGAAAGACAGTTTCCCCCAAGCACTGCCACGGAGTCTCCGCGGGAAGCGACGTACCTTAACTTTGGAGTTCTCAATCAAATGCTGAGCCATGGATTTTATCAAGACATCAAAGAAAAACCACGAATACTGAAAGAACAAAAAAAGCATCCCAGTAAGCAAAACAATGAGGTTCAAAGGGGAAGTGTGTATTTTGCTTTTTTTTTTTAAGATGTATTTATTTATGCATACAGAATTGGGGTGCAGGCCATAGTGAGAGGCTTCACCAGAGACAGAGCGGGGAGCAGAACAGGCAGATCGACGAAGTACACTGCTGAGGGGAGCAGCGGGCGGGTCAGGAGAGGTCTGCCACGCCATGGGGTCACCTCCGGGGCAGGCGGGGATCGAACTCATGCGGAAGCGGCTTTAGCTTCTCGGTGCTGTGCTTTAACCCGCTGCGCCCCCGGGAGGGCCCAGGCTGATGTGTACTTTCTGAAGGCTAAGCATGGGGGCGACAGGAAGCAGTCTGACTCCAGAACACAGTTCACCTCTTGGAAAATCGGCGCGAGCCCAGAAGTGGGGAAGAGCTTCTCTTGCTCTCAGAGTCCAACAACTAGCAAACCCCCTTCCCGGGAGTTGGGCACATGGGTTGCCAGAGCAGCGGCACCCCTAGATGCAGCGGCACCCCTAGATGCACCGTCCTCCTGGCCGGGCCCCCAGGCTGACCCGCCGTTAGAGTTCTCCCTCAGCCTCCGCTGCACGCTTCAATATAGGGACTGAAGACACATGAGGCCATGCCAGATGGGAGACACACAGCTCCGAGACAGGGCTGGGGGCAGCGCGGGGCTGAAGAACCCCAACCCCCGGGGATCACCCCTTTTTTCAGAAGAGATGACCAGCTCTAAAAACACAGCAAACAGGTGACCAGATCAGGCTGTGGAGCTGGGGTGTCCCCCCCTCAATGCCACTCCCCCAGCGCCACACTGTTCCCTGCTCCCCAGCACGCACCTTCAGGAGTTTGTTGCTGGTGAGAAAGTCAGCCGAAGGCTTGAGAATCATGGTCATGGACTTGGTCAGTTCTTCGTGCACGGTCTTATACTCGGAGGCCACGTAGGGCTCGGCCTTGTACGCAAACTGGAGAGTGAAGGGAAGCAGACACTGCAGTGGGCCCACAAGCTGGATGACAGCAGAGGCCCAGGGGTGGAAAGCGGGCTCCGAGGTGGAGGGGAGGGTGTGCGAACGGGACATAACGAGGGGCCTGGGGTGTCTGCGGCCCGCGGAAGATGTCCACCACCTGAACGGTCCTCCGGCCGCCAACTCGACTCCACCTCCCAAGGATGCCAGGGAATGTGACCCAGCACACCGGCCACTGATACCCCAAAGACCCGGACTGTGTATTCACAAGTTCTCATTCTCTAGACATCCGTGACCCAGTAGAACTTGTGCGAATGTTTAGAATAATAACCGCTACTACGCGGACTGAGGACGGCACAGAAATGACGGACGTGTTGATGTCAACCCTAGGGTGCCTCTGGCTGTCTGACAGTCCTCCGAAGTAACCTCAGTTTTGCTAGGAATGTTTGATAGGAAAAAAAAAAAAAGAAGGTGATAACTACACCAGAGGGCGAGCCAAGAAAGACCTTAAACCTTTCTCTGAAATGTCACGTCACTTGGGTCACCGTGTTTGCAAAACCCATTGAGGGAGATGGAGCGAAAGGAACAGAATTCAGGGACCACGTGGATGGTCACCTCGCTGCACTTCCCCTTGTTCGGGCACAAGAATGGGCTGAGTGATAGAGAGGAAGAAAGCAGAGGTAGCAGGTTTCACCCCCTGGTCACCCCTCAAGAATTAGGCCATTATTTAAAAGTGAATCCCTGAGGGAAACTGGGAGCCACAGGGAGAAATGACCCGTTTACCTCACGTACCTTGACATATGACCGCAAGTGGCTCTCCAGCCCCTCCTCATGGCACTGGGCAACCACATGGATGATGACCCTGGACACCATGGGGCGGAGAGAGAGATGTATTGGAGGGCGGGAATGGGGGGTTTCGCTCTCATCACAGCAGTGTGACAACAGAGAGGACGCCCCATTCCTTGCCCCAGAGGGCCCAAGGGATCAGATGGGGGTCTCTACATGGCGTCACCACATCTCAGCATCCCGGGTTTGGAGGACTTTGCTCCAGAAGGACTTTGCTCCCGCCCGCCGCCTGTCTTACCGTGTGACGTTGACGGCCACTTCCTCCTGGGTGGCCCTGGTGAGGACGCGGAACAGCTGGTTTAGGATGGTGGGCAAGAAGGCGATCATCACGTGGCCTTCCATGGCGTGCAGGCTCTAGAGATGCGGAAAGGAAAAGGCCACGTCAGCCTTGTAGGAGCAAATCCCAAGCCCGTTCCACTCCGTCTCAACCACGGACGGGAGGGACGGTCCGTTCAGCGTGGGGGCAGCGGAGGCAGGTGGCCCAGCAGACGGAGTCCACACCTGATGTCCAGGAGCTGGGACGTGGCACCACGTGACAGTGAGGAGTCAGGTTTGCTCCCCGGACTACCTGGTGTGATCACAGGGGTTCTGGGGTTTGAGGGGGGGCATGGAGGAGCGTCAAGGAGACACGCCAGAGGCACTGAGGTCAGAGATGCCCCACTTGCGGGTTGTGTGATGGAGAAAGGAGCCAAAGTAAGGAATGAGGGAAGCCCTCTAGGCTGGTGGAAGGACAAAGAACATCCACCCCCAACTTTGCAGGAAGGACCTCAGTCCTGTAAATAACGCCTGGTTTTCACCCAGAGAGAGCGAAGACCGTTGACCTGTAGGCGTAGGTGCCAGAAAATGTATCTTGGTGACAGCAGCTCGAGCAAACCCAGACAAAGGCTCTTAAAGGCACCGGGACCTCTGTGAGGAGCTGAAGCACCCCGGCAAAGCAGCGTCCCCATCCATTTTCCTGCTCACGCCCATTATCCCGTCTCTCCCATTGCTCACAGTTAGCCCCATGCCTGGAATGCTCTTTAGCAACCCTCCTGTTCCAGTGTTGCTCTAGAGTCACTTTCTGAATGAAACTCCGAGTTTCATGCCTCCCCTGCCCTCCCTGTTCAGTGACCCGGGGAGTTTTCTGTGCCCCAACCCCCCGCCCCCCACACAGCCAGGGTTGATTAATCAGTTCTGTGTGTTCTATTCAGGCATTCACCGGGGTCATGTTCTGTCCTACAACGGATCTGAAGTTACTCAGCCACGGGACTGAAGTCTCCGGTTCTCGGGCCAAACCTGTGCTCGGCACCTATGGGTCCATGGAGGTGAGTGTTTTTCTGTGTGGGCAGTGACATGTTAGGCTCAAGGGACGTACAGGTGGGGCCGGGCGTTGGTTGAGCTCTTGCCATACGGAACCTATCGATGCGGTCGCCCGACTGAGAGGCAACCACGCTCGTGAGGTTCCCGTCCGGGGCTCAGAACAGCGCTCGCCGCCAAACTCAAACTCGAGACACGTGTCAGACATGGCGTCACCACATCGCAGGATCCCAGGCTCGGAGGACTTAGGGGTTACTAGAAAGGCATCTGATACCTTAAGGTATTTCACAAGTTCGTTCCCCACGGCTTGGGCTCCCGATTCGGTTTTCTGACAGTACTGGAAGAAATTGTGTAAATGCTGATCCTGGAAGGGAGGAAAGAAAGGCCATGAGCACACCTCTGGAGGTGAACCTACTGGAGGGTGCTTCCCACAGCCCGCACGGGTCATTAGATGATGAAACTCATCCATAAAAGGCAAAACGCCAAAGGAGAAAACAACAATTTGCAAAGAGATTTCAAAGATCCTCCAACAAAGGGGGGAAATTGTCAAGACGCGCGATCTGTGCTATCTGTACCTATCCATGCCCCTCATTAGGGACCTTCTTTCTTCCTTTCTTTTTAAAGAAAGATGTTTCAGCCCTTCCTGGTGGCGCAGTGGGTTAAAGCACAGCACTGAGAAGCTAAAGCCCGTTTCAGCATGAGTTCAATCCCCGCCTGCCCCGGAGGTGACCACATGGCGTGGCAGACCTCTCCTGACCCGCCCGCTGCTCCCCTCAGCAGTGTGCTTCGTTAATCTGCCTGTTCTGCTCCCCACTCTGTCTCTGGTGAAGCCTCTCACCCTCCACATCTCTGGCCTGTACCCCAGTTCTGTACAAATAAATAAATAAATCTTAAAAAAAAAAGGTGTTTCTATACAGAATAAAAATGTTTCCAGATAACATATGTAGGGTTTTGTTTTGCCAAAATTGAAGCAAACTCATTCTTGGCCTCTTACCTGAGTATACACAGTGGAAACCAGGTGAGTTGAGACTTTCAGCAGTGGCTTGCTTCCATCGACCCACTTAATTTCTGGGCCGTAATGCTGAAAAATAGAGAGGGCGGAGCCCCCAACAGGTTAGTCCCCCAACAGGTTAGTCATCTTGGCCTCACGCACCATCTTCAGGAGGGTCTGGATAGGGCACTGAAGGTTCTGGAAGCTCAGGGGCAGGACAGGCGTGCCTGGACTGACCTCTGCCCTCTCTCTGCCCCAAGGACACAACCCCTCATCCTGCAATTTCTAAGTGGACTTTTCTGTGTGGGAGCAGCTGTATGAGTCACTGTCCATTTGAGAGGGAAAAATTCAATTTCACCAATGACTCCACCAAGCCTGAGCTCAGGATACTGAAAGAAATGGTTGAAAGTGCCAGCTAAAGCAGACAGGGCAGTGCGCACCGGCACAGGCCAGGCCATCATCTGCTGAGTGATGTGTCGCACCTTTCTGAACTCTATTTCTCTCAAATTGGGGCTAGGAATTTGAATGGGTCGCTCCTTTATTTGGGCCTGAGCCGTACCACAGGCTCAAATTTAGCATTCTTTAAAAAGGCCCAAATGTGGCCTGGCTTAACTAGAGAGAAATATTAAAAGTCACTCCCAACAAAATGAACAGACCTTATCAAAGCAGTTCATAAAAACAAAGTCTCTACAATTTCAGGTGGCTGCAAAGTGCAAACCCAGCAAACCGACGGGAGCCATCTGGGATGCTCCAGGCCTTGACAAGTCAGAAGGGAATTAGGATGGGGACCCTGGGATGCAAGATTCATCTCTCTGTTGACACTGAGCTAGAAGAGACATCCTAATAGTTTCAAAGATTTCTAAGAGATGCTAAAAATGTATCTTTATCTGCAGCTACTTTGCAGAAGCAAAAGTCTATGCAGCCAGTCTGCCAGTGTCTATTCCCTGCAGAGGGGCTGCCGGGTCAAGGCTTACAGCTGCCCCGGCTAGAAGTCTAGACAACGTTAACTGTCCACAGCACTGTTTGCCGGTGGCCTGAATCGCTTGAAAACGCCCAACTAAAACCAAAATATCGGCAGCAATAAGAAACACTGTGTGCTTTTTCGTGTTACTATTGTGCCAGGTGATCTTCAAGGTATTCTGGAGCATGGGGATAAAGTAAGGAGCGGCCAGGTCCGTACCCTGCCCATCCCCAGCTCTTGGCAGCCGAGGTAGCCAGGTGGGAGGTTAGCAGAGACAGGGGTGTGCTGCTCGTTGGTCACCACCCGGCCATCTTTCAGGAGAGGAAGCCAGGAGTAGCCAACTGGAAAACAAAGGGAAAAAACTCACGTCAGTGCACAAAAACATGGAAGAGAGCCAAACAAAGTGAGCTTCTTCTAGAAGGCCTGACCTGTGAAAACAGTGGCGGCAGGCCAGGCCAGGCCACTGAGGCCAAACACCCCTGCGCCCAGGACTGGGCTCCCTGCAGGTAGAATTCTAGCCTTGCGTCAAAGTGTGCACTGGCGGCCCGGTGTGCTACCTTCAAACGCCTTACGGGAAACTCCGCAGAGGCTGCAAACGCAGACCTCAGTAAAGCGGAAGAAGCTGTTGCGTAAGCTGGCACCCTCGAAGGATGGCGAAAGAGCAAACCTTGCGTCTCCACCACATCCTTCTTCTTGGTGCTTCCTTTGCTGGAGTTATCGCAGCTGACGTGGAAGAAGGTGAAGAGCAGGTGATGGCGCTCGTGCAGCTGAGTGGGCAGCTCGATTTTAACCTGCAAGGAAGGCAAGAGGACCGTCCTTCCAATGTTCCGAGGGGACTCAGAGAAAGCTGCCACCCACGCGTCACCCAAGGAGCAAGCGTGGTTCTGATGTCCACACTCATAGGAAGTTGTGCAAAGACACTCAAGACTGTAAATGGTGCAAAGGATTTAAATAGATTCTTGATGCGTTGCTGTGGTAGGAATGTTTGTGTCTTCCCAAAATTCATATGTTGTAGTCCTAACCCCTGAAGATAATGGGATTAGGAGTTTAAAAACAGCCCCAAGTGCGTGGGGTTTTGTGATAGCAGCACAGAATGAAACAACAGAAGCTCACGTGTTAATCGGTGGCTCATCAGAAACACCAGGAAGGCTGGCGTTTCAACTCTAGAGGGCCCTGCCCTGCCAGCCCAGGAGTGGCGAGGGAGCAGGGAGGACATTGTAGGGAAGGGCTGCATCGTGCTGCTCTAGCAGCAGACGCAGCGAGCAGACAGGAAGGCTCTCGGTGGCGCGGGTGTGCTGACAGCCCACTGAGTTACAGATGGAGCCACGCGTAAGTAAGACTTGGAAAGGAATACAGCGCCATCTTAATTGTGGCATGATGGAGGGCTTTGGGCTTTTTCTTTCTGACCTCGTCTGCATTTTTAAACAGCTTACTCTCCTAATGAGGAAAATATTATGTAAAACAAATACTCTGACATCGACATTTCACTCCATCACTGGGATTTTAGTAGAATGTGTATCGTCTCTTGAATTTTGCTTTGCTGAACACAAAATTTGGAGTTTTCCTTATGAAGGGGTAAACTGGGTAGCCCCTGAAAACCTCACTTACCTCATCATAAAATTCTGGGTTTTGGTGGTGGTGTAAAACGGCAGCAAAGGCGCTTCTTGTGAAGACCGGCCCTCCAGGTCGGCCGTAAATGCACTGGATGGAGTAAGAGATCGCAAGGAAAGTCATGAGTATGTCGCGGGGCAAGAATGCAAGCTCAGACGTGTTATTAAGAAAGAGGCAGCTTGGCCTTAACCACCTCTGACAGGTTCTTCTAGGAGACGCCAGCCCCGCAGGCCCCCTGACCCGGGGCCCCAACGGCCTCCAGCTTCTCCTCTAGGCCTGGCTGATCCCAGCCTACGTGCTGCTGCTATGGATGCCCACCTTCCCAGGTCTGCGGGCTGTGCCCGGTCACATCCCCCTCACGCTGCTGTCTATGCAGTTCCCCTGTGGCTGACCTGCTTTCTCTATGAACCCAGCACACCCGCAGACCTCCTTCGAGAAAGCCCTCTGCTCCTTCACAGCACCATTTCCAACAGACTCATGGAGAGCGTCTCCGTGGCCAACGACAGAAGAGTGGACTGAGAAGGTGTGGCCTGCCCACACAGCAGGACAACTCAGCCTTCCAGAGGAGAAAGTCTTGCCATGTGGGACAACATGGATGGAAGGGGAGGGTGATGCTACGTGAAGTGAGCTCACTAATTCGGGGGAGACAGACAAACACGGTTGGCTTCAGAGAAACAAAGCATAGGACCAGCCAGACTAAACCGAAACAAATACCAGAAACCTGATGTAGAACTGAGGCTAGGGGCGAGGGAGGGGGGTACGGGGCAAAGGGGGAGCTCTATGGCCTGGCAGAGGACTCTGGGGTGATCCCTACCCCTAAATTATATATGATGTTGTAAACCAATGTTACTTCAGTAAAGATAGAATTTTTAAAAAAAAAAGAAGAAAGAGATGCTTGACCCTGCCTCTATGCTCCCTCAGCATCTTGCTATACTAAATATTTCTTTTGTCCCAAAACTCCTTTTGTGTGCTGGGAGCTCTTTCTCCATGACTGTCTTCCCACTTAGCTGGCTCGGTGGAGGGTGAAAGCTGCATATATTTTCCTTTGCATCCCTGTCTCCTTCCATTCATAGAGTTACCACAAAGCACCTGGGTTTGGCCAGGGTAGCGCCTGGTGCCACCATTGTACACCCTTCTGCATTTTACTTAAATCTGTATATTAATCTCCTCATCTAAAAAAAAAAAAATAAGAAGGTAATAGCAGCAACCTAACTCAAAAGGGTATTAAAGATGTTTAGCACCCACAAGGTGCTAAAACACGGATCTGGACAATAATAACCACTGAAAACATCACACGTGATCTCGTGATTATTACCGTGCTATAATTAATATTTAAGAAATGCCAACCTATTGTTATTTCTATGACCAGTATTCCTAATCCCTAAATTCCTAGCATCCACCCAAGGCCCGACTTATTGAAGGTGCATCTATTTATTGCATTGACTGTGCATAAGAAAATGTTGTGTAATTGACTGATAAAAGAGAAACAGTCAAGTAGGAGCATGAACTCCATCAATTCCATGTTCTGTAAGGTTCACCACATCTGGTTCTGTAGTCCAATGCCCTATGTTTTTGTGTCAGTGTCATTTAGAATGTGTTAAATGTGTCTCGTTGGGCACTGTATGGAACATCACTTTGTAATGGAAGACATCAGAGCGTGTAGGCATGCAACCACATGAAAGACAAACCTTCAGAGGCTGGGCATCTTCCTCATCAGAATCTTTGAATTCAATGCAAACAGCAATATTTCTGGCCTGCAGGAATAGTCAAAGAAAAAATGAAACTTAATTAAAAACCAGAATATATACGTACTTATCGAAGGACGTGAGATGTCCGCTCTGACCAGCGTCTGATATAGAAATGATCGATGCGCTCACCTTGGCAAAAGACTTCTGACTGTCGTATTTCAAGTACTTTGGATAGACGTAAAGGTGGTTGTTGTAGATGGTATAAGGCTGGGTGTGTTTTGGGATGCAGGGTACAAACTCCTCGACTTCAAATGTGATTGGAGTTTTACTACAGGTTTCAAATTGCTTCATGGGGATGTATGATGAATTGACATAATCTAAAAAATCAAAATTGAATGAAGTGAAGGGAAAAGCAAACAAGAAGTTGTCTGTTTATTGCAGAGAACGTCACTTACTGGGGAAATCTGAGGAAACATTGTCGATGGTGATGTCTAGATTGCCCAGAATCACTGGGAGTTTAGCCATCTTCTCCGGTCTACAAAGATGAGGAAAAAGAACATTGTGAGTCAGGTTGCTGTGAATGCCAAAGTTCTAGAGAAACACTTCCCAGAGAAATATAATGCAAGTTACACAAGTGATTTTACACTGGCCAGCAGCCACATTAAAGGTGAAAAGAGGGCCCTCCCTGGTGGCGCAGCGGGTTAAAGCGCAGCACTGAGAAGCTAAAGCCACTTCCGCATGAGTTCGATTCCCGCCTGCCCTGGAGGAGACCACATGGCGTGGCAGACCTCTCCTGACCCGCCCGCTGCTCCCCTCAGCAGTGTACTTCCTCGATCTGCCTGTTCTGCTCCCCACTCTGTCTCTGGTGAAGCCTCTCACCGCCCCTGAGCCTCTGGCCTGTACCCCAGTTCTGTATGCATAAAGAAATAAATCTTAAAAAAAAAAAAAAAAAAAAAAAAAAAAAAAAAAAAAAAAAAAAAGGTGAAAAGAAAAAGTAAAAAGAATCGAAAGGACACATATTTTTGTCCCAATACAGTCAAGATATCATCAGCTCAATACTGAGCTCGTATAAAAAGTTCATTCTAATTCTTAGAAACCAGCTGTGGATTCCACCTGATTGGTTCAGGGGGTGACGGGACTGGATGTTTGCAGATGTTGTGTGGTGACCTTTGGTATGTCACCACTCCTCACCACACATAGCGAGAACTTTGCTTCTGACTCGACGAGCTTCTGCCGTGTGCCTGTCAGTAAGTCTCCACATTGGAGTACAACACACCAGGTGAGGGCTCATCCCCGTGAGGGCCCCTTTCCATTTGACTCTCTGCAAAGAGCCGATTTGCAGATAAGGTCCCACCGATAGGTACCAGGGGTCCGGACTTCAGCACAGCTTCTTGGGGGAATTCAGCTCAATGCATGACAAAGAGGCAAAGCGAGGTGAAACAACACGTCTCCACCTCACAGCTGGGAGTGGGCGGAAGTGGGTCTGGCTGCGAAGCTTCTTTTCCCGTGGTGCTATTTCAGAGCTCCCTACTGAGCCCTCCCTCACTGCTCAAGTTATAAAATGGATTTTCTTTGCTAGAGATGTTTAAGACCTTTTCTGGGAAGAAAAAGAGCTGAGGGCTTGAGGGGGTAATGAAATGAAGAAACTAGCCAGGGATCCACCACTGCGGATTCTGTTCCCTGGTTCCTTTCAGTCCTCATTTGTTATTTCTATACCCAAGAAACGATATCAGTTTGCCTAGAACTCAGAAAAGACTGAATGAGCTTCCTTTATCTTCATGTTTACCGTAATCGGATTTCTCTTTGAATTTTCAGAATTCTAAGGAGTCGAAATGAACAACTTTTAAAAGTTTCAGTTACTTTTTCTAGTGGATAATATATTGTCATATATACTGGATTATCGAAGTAATTATTGTCCTTTTATGGGGATTCCTGGAAACTTTTAGTCTTACTTACATAATAAAAAGTAGGTTTTTTTTTTCTTTAAAAAAGAGAACCTAGTCACCTTTAGCTAAGTAAGTCACAGTTTTCCCACCGTCGAGTAACCCGCAACTGTCAGTCATCATGACATAACCCATCTGTATTCATTTAGAAAGAGGAACAGTAACAGTACTGTTGAGGAAGAGAATGTACCTGGATAAACTCTCTTATGAAAAGAAAATATTTTATGTATTTCTGGAATATAAATGAAGAAAAGGACAGACAGGGAGCCAGCCAGATGCAAAGGTAGACCACCATAAAAATCACCCTGTGGAATATACAACAAAATGTCACTCAAGGTCTCCCCAAGGGGTAGAGTTCTATGTAACTTTGAATTTGCTCCTCTATAGCTTTTTGTGATTTTACACGAACATTAAAAAAATACTTACTTTTTGCATTTGATAAAACAAATAAATGATGAAACTATTTTTTTTTACACAACTGCATTGTGTAAAAAAAAAAAAATCCCTAAAAATGCGTTGGAGTCTCTTGAAAAGATTATATAGAACTAAAAGAAATTTGAGGCACTTTTGTGCCTCCTTGAGTGCATGTCTCTGTCCCACACTCATCCAACATGCCCTCCGAAGCTGAGTTAAGCCACCAAACGTGCTCCCGCTCCCACCTCCTCCCCTAGGATGCCTACGAGTCAGGTGTGGGGTACTAAGGCCCTGAGACTCACTTCCGGAAGTCTGCCAGCAGCTTCAGCATGTCCTCGTTGGAGAGTTTATTGCTGTCTTGCTTGTAGAGAGCAGAAAATCTGGCATTTTTGTCCAGGTTTCCAGATGCATCCTTAAACAACGTCCTGAAATAACAAAACCACCTTTCTGAACCGAGTTTCCAAACCACCAAAATTAATCTGTAACTTAACTCTGGTTTCTACGTAAAGACGAATTATTATTCCACCGGCAGTAGACAAGGAAAATCTCATTATCTAAAAACAGGGGAGATGTTTATGTGGATGAACACAACTAACTCAATTTACTTAGAGAACATGTCCAGCAAATGGCTCGTACCGAGGAGAGCGGAGCCACAGTCAGTGTGTAAGACATGGCGGTCACGATGGTGGCTGGCAGGCCTCCCGCTGCCCCTGTGCCCAGCTGGACGCAGGCGAGTCCAAGACCCTGGAGCCCAAGGCCAGCACAAACACTCCCGTCCAGCCAGACACCTCCAACATGGCTGCCCTCCAGCAGCACCCCTCTGCAGGGACGCTGGAAAACGACTCTTCAGATACAGGGGTATTTATTTCCCATTTCAATATTTTGTCTATGGGCAATACATATACTCTTTGAGTTCCAGGAAACTTTTAGTCTTGCTTAGTAAAAGTGGTGTGTTCTTTTTTTTAGAAGAATTGGGGTGTAGGCCAGAAAGGCAAGGGTTAAAGGGATTCACCAGAGACAGTGGGAGCAAAACAGGCAGATCCACTGAAACACACTGCTGAGGGGAGCGATGGGGAGATGGGAGAGGTCTGCTGCGCCCTGTGGCTCCCTGGTGCAGATTGAACCCAGGCCACAGTAGTGAGAGTATTGAGACTTACTCCTAGGCCACCAAGGAGGCCCTAAAAAGTAGGTTAAAAAAAAAAAAAAAAAGCAACCCAGTCACAGGGCCTCCCTGGTGGTGCAAGGGATTAAAGCGCAGCTGTTTGAAGCTGTCCGCAGCCACTGCAGCAAGAGTTCAATCCCGAGGGATCTGACTTACATGGCGCGGCAGACCTCTCCTGTCACCCAGCTGCTCCCCTCAGCAATGCACTTCATCAATCTACCTGTTGTGCTCCCCACTCTATCTCTGGTGAATCCTCTCACACCCTCCCCCCAACACACATTTCTGGCCTATATCCCAGTTTTTATATGCATAAGTAAATAAATCTTAAAAACAAAACTCCAGTCACCTTTACTTAAATAAATTACAGTTTCCCACAGTGACTTCAATGCAACGCTCAGTCATCAGAATACAGGTCTACCTGGAACTCAGAAGCGTAGGTCAGCTGATCGCTGTCTGTCTGTCTGTGTCGTCTATATACACACAAGCTATAGAAGACATTGGCCTACCTTGCCGCCCAAGCAAAAGGCATCCTGTACTGTCCGAGTCTTTGGCATGCCTGCTTCGCGTTCTTCAACACCTTCTGAGCAACCTTGGAGATACCAAAATACAGCCATGAGACACTGCAACCCACTGATCACTATAGCTGAGAAGCCACCACAGCAAGCTCTCGCCACCGTGCCAGATTGGGGGGAAGCACACGAGTGTCATGAGGTTGGCTAGACTTCCACTCAGTGGGGAACATCCGTCTAGCTGTGATTTTTCAAGACAGAATGAGACCTGTCTCCAGAATGTATGTCTCCGCCGTGGCCTTCAGACAAGCTTGCCGTTCCATAGGCTCTTAGAGTCCTTTATGTCTAAGGGTGACGGATGAGTCCACTGAGTAAGTAAAGATCACTGGTGCTTGGGATTCATGCCCCAGTGCATTCTGCTACTGGAACTTAAAAGAGAACCTAGTGGAAACAGTAAGCTCTCACAGCGCCCATATGCACTCGAGGGGCACTCATCATGTGGAGACTGTACGTGGAGCTTCAGCTGGGTTTTCACTCACTGTTCTTGTCTTCTAAGTCCACATGACTGCTGTTTTTACTCTCCAGTGGTCAACTTTGACTTGCCAGTTGGCTAACCCTACAGCACAGAAGACTTACTTTTGGTTTAATATGTATACATGGCAGGCCCACTAATCAACTGCACCCCTACCGTTGAAGCTGAGACATCCACTTCCCCCAGATTTGCTTACACCAGGATACTATATCGTCAGCGCTGTGAGTGCTGGCTGGTCAGAGCCAGAGTGGGGCTCTGTGGCCCTCGGCAAAGGGAGCTTTACAAGTGAGTTCAGCACTAGGTTTGAGCAGGGCTTGTCTAGAGACTCTGAATCGGCACACTAGAGTTTCTGTGCCCACATCCAGCTGAAAGTGGCCGTTGGCACTGTGGCCACGGGGGGGAGCTTGGCTCTTCATTATCCTCCAGTTCCCAAACCTGATGCCTCTGCATCAGCACACATGCGAGCCATTGCTTCGGGGGTGAAGTGGGGAGTGTGCTTGATCGCAGGAGATGTCGGGTTCAGGGTTCAGTGGGGGCACAGTCCAAGGCTACCGTCCTGGACTGTCCATTCCCCCTAAGCATTTCTCTTGAAAACTATTACTGTTAAGTTCTAGCAATGAGGACAACGCTGTGGAATAAGACACAGCATCTGCATGAGGTCTGATGCTAAAACACAAGCTTCAAACAAGCTTCGCCTTCCCCACAGCGCATGGAGACTGAGCCCTCCGACTCGGGGTGGGGGGGCGGGGGGAGGTTGGGGGAGCGGGTAATGGGACAAAATGAGGGAAGTCATAACAAAAAACTCGCTTTGCCCTTTGGGGTTTTTCCTGTTTAACACATTTATTCATGATGGGCACCTATAGAGATTTCGCAATAACTTCCTCCCAGACAAAAATTTCCTCCAAAGGAGGTTCTTGACCTTGAGTAGACATTTCTGAAATACAAGAGGAAAATTCCTTTGTAAAATCTCTGCCCAAAGTATTGTTAGGCTGGGAGGTGGCTGCGTCTTAATCCCTCCTAATCCCAGCATGAATGCCAGGCAGGATGGTGAGAGCATGGCACGGGCCACGGGGAGGGCTGAGCTCTGCACCCTGTCAGCAGGGAAAAGCAGCGGTGGGCAGCGGTCAGGGAGCAGAAGGGTGCATGTCCAGCCCTCAGGGACACTGAGCTTTGCACCACCACGAGCTGCCGACCTGCAACCGTGTGTGGTCACAGAGGCGGTGCCTGTGGCTCTTGGAAAAGCATCACACACAGAACCAGGGAGATCATTGCTTGGGCCTTCATTGATTACTAATCAAAACATAAAAGAGCTTTTGAAGCTTCTCATCCAAGGTTTCATAGACTTGACAATCAAAAATAACACAGCTTCTCTCTGGAGACCGGTTAGCTTTCATCAGCCAGGCAGGAGTCCTGTTTGAAGCCACGCTGTTTGAAGTCTGCTAACTGCTGATCAATGACCACCAGGGCCTGCACGCATCAGTGGTCCACGCTGCCCTACCCCCAGCACTGTCTGCAGGACCCTGGAGCTTCCCCAGAGAAGCTAAGGGTGGGTTGTAACATTTTCCTCATCTACAAGCAGGATACTTGGGAACCAGGGGGTGAGGCGCTTTCTCCAAAGCACCGGGGTCTGACTCTTAAAACCATCCTGGCACACTTGTAAAGTACAGGTGGCCAGAGAGGCTCTGAACCAACTCTGAAAACCCAGGTAGAGTCTCTGGAGTGGATCGGCCCTCGTCCCTGTACTGGGGACATCTCTTAGATGACCACTTACTGGGAAAAATATTTTCATAACTAAAAATACTACACAACAGCAGGCACAGCACTCGTAGCTTACTTGGACTGGTCACGGAATGCACTCGGAAGCCAAGTGTCCACTCTAACCGAGTAGAGAAGCCTTTGTTAGCCAGTTTCTGACGGGTGCCTGCGAGGAGATGCCATCAAACCCTCGATACTTCTACAGCACGTCCACCCTAGGCACTCCCCAAGGATGGACACCCTTGCAAGTACCCAAACATGCATCTTGCTGTTTCCTGTCCCTTGTCTACCTGAAGTCACCGCTGTCACCAGAGCCTGCCCTGTCCTCCAAGCCTCAGAACGACAGCCCCAAAGCCGTATCAGCAAGGGGAAGGGTCTCTAGTTGAATGGAGGCGCTTTGGGACAACAGGACATCTACAAGGAGCTGGCAATTCTTCTCCAGTGATCTCGGGATGACGCACTCCAACGAGGCGCCTCACTTATGCGGAGCACCACTCTTGACCGTAAGTCAGACACAGAAAGTTAAATGTATTGAGAAACAACATAGATCTGTCTTCGCCTTTTAGGGGGTACAGATGGGTTAGCGGTGCTGGAGAATTCCTACTCTGACAGGCAGCCTCTGTCTTCCTGACCAGTCACGGAGCTGGCAGTCACCATACCTTGGAAGAGTCTGAGCTTCTCATGTATGGCTCAGCGCCATGGGTGATGCTGCCCTGGAGAACTTTTTCAATTCTAGCCACGAGAAAGATGTCGGGATGAGGACAGGTGACTGAGAAGATTCCCTAGAAGAAAACAATGTTCTTCTGTGAGTAGAACTGACAGTCATGTTAAACAAACCCATGAACATGAAAGATTTTAAGGCAGTGAGGATGGTGAAACAGGTAGCTATTAAGAAGCACCCAGGGTAGACCAGCTGACCCACCTTGCTCCACCATGGCTATGTGGTGGGGGAGGCCATTAGGAAAGTTTAGAAGGCAGAAATCACTTCTCTTTGCACCTGCGTTTACTGTGTATTTATAGATGCTGTCAATACTGTGGTCTCCTTCACACCCCCCAGACCCCCCAAAGCCCCATAACTGCAGAGGCAGAGTGTGTGGTTAGGAAGCACGTGCTGGTGAGTCTCAGCAGCTGCTCCGGGGCCCACCTGCTTTGGGTACTGCATGGCAGCCTCGTGAAGGGTGTCCTGCAGGGCGGGCGAGCTCTGGCCACCGCCGTTCATCAGCACCGGGGACGGGGGCACCAGCATGTGGCGCACCGAGAAGTGGTTGAGGTCCACGTGGAAATCGGCAGAAATCTTTCGGTTGTATTTTATGTCAAACAGGGAGAGGGTAACAAAGAAAGGCTCGACCTGAACCAAACAAAGCAAAGCAGATCGTCATGGCTCAAGCTTTGGGAAAACAGAGAGCTGCTCTCAGGAAGACGACGAGTCGTGTTTATGGGCGTCGCTACGCAGGGCTGGCCCCTCCTCCCCACAGCCCAGCCAGGGCTACACACTGCCAACCTGCAGGCTAACCCGCCCTCCACATCCGGGTCCAAACTGTGACCTCTGCTTCCAAGGACCAGCTTTCATGTCCAGACTTCACGTAACTGGCACATTTGAAACCTCTGAATTTTTTAAAGAAAAATTACATTGGTAGTAGGTCCTTCTTCATTTTCAGCAACACAGCACTGCAGATTGAAAGACAAGTCATTGCACTTGACGAGAATTCTTTTTCCAAACTTCTCTTCGAATGGCTTCACTTCTGGCTCAGCTGATGAGAAGTCAAGCTTCTAGAAAAGAAAATGTAAATATATCACAAGATTATATTCCCATTTAAAAAACCCCCATAATGTATACTAACGAAACTGCCTAAAATATGGGAAAGCGATAAGGAACTCCTAAGGGTTGTTATTTTGTAACTTTATGTAGTTTATAATGGTCAGATAAATGATGATATATCTACCCAAAGGATTAGTACACAGAGCTTAAAAATTATAGTGAGGAACATCCCAAGCATGCATCAATGGATGAACAGATATACAAAATATGGTACAGCCACACAATGGAATATTACACAGTCATAAAAAGGAATGAAATTCTCACACAAGCTACAACCTGGATGCACCTTGAAAACATGCCAAGTGGAAGAAGCAAGACACATAAGTAAATATACTCAAGTAGCAAATACAAGGTTCTCAGCACACGTGAATTCACAGAGAGTAGAATAAGGATTAGTAGAAGTTGGGGGAAGAAACGAGGAGTTAGTGTTTAATGGATACAGTTTGCGAAGGTGAAGTTCTGGAACTGGGTAGTGATGATACTTGTACAAAAAGGTGAATTACCACTGAGGTGTACTCGTAAAGTGGTAATTTTGTCGTGTGTACTGTAGCACAACAATTTAAAAACAGCCAAACAGTGAGGCCTGTGAAAAAGTATGGAAAATACTTACTAATAAAGCTAAAGAGACATTTTAATTAAAAAGAAAAAAAGACCATAAATGAAGTAGGAAGAGTAAGATAGGAGAAAGACAGCCAACGGTGCCCGCTCCCAGCACTGTCTATGGCTTCGAGCTCCTCATCTGTGCATTTGCGATTCTGGGGGACACTCCTATGGGCAGGTGGGCTGGCTGGGAAACATCACTGGCTACTGGGCACCTGCTGCAATGCTTATCTTCTTTTTGTACAAGTATCATCACTACCCAGTTCCAGAACTTCACCTTCGCAAACTGTATCCATTAAATACTAATTCCTTGTTCCTTCCCCCAACTCCTAGTAATCCTTGTTCTACTCTGTGAATTCACGTGTGCTGAGAACCTTGTATTTGCTACTTGAGTATATTTACTTATGTGTCTTGCTTCTTCCACTTGGCATTTTTCAGGGTTCATCCAGGTTGTAGTTGTGTGAGAATTTCATTCCTTTTTATGACTGCGTAATATTCCATCGTGTGGCTGTACTATATTTTGTTTCCGTTCATCCATTGATGCATGTTTGGGTTGTTCCTCACTATAATTTTTAAGCTCTGTGTACTAATCCTTATGGAGTAATTTCTGATATCTGAATCAGAAATGAAAACTATACATGGACTTGAGAGAGACTTTGGATAACTTTCTGTCCATTTCCAACAGTCTACTGAATAGCAGGTATTCATAGTGGTTGTGCTCCTGGCAATGAAATTACATGTGGGTTTCATTTTTCCTCCTTTCCCTGAATTTTCATTCTTGTTAGATTGCTATCAATAAAGCAAACAAACAAGCCAATAGGTCTCACCTGGGTATCTGGGTCCAAGTAAAAAAGCTTCACTCTGCTTTCACTCTTCAGCTTGATCTCTGCTTCTCTGGTGGTCTGATAACAAGATAAATAAAAATTATGTAAAATGTTTTTCTTAAGGATTTAAATGAGAGTTGTCTGAAAGCTGCTGTGTCCTCAATCCAGAAAGCCCGCCACTCCTGGTGAGTCAGGCGCCTGCAGGTGGACCAAGACTGACGGCCAGGCAGGTAGCATCCAGGGTGGGTCCTGAGAATGAAATGAAGTCCCACCTCCCTGCGAACACCATCTGACTAACATCCGCGAGGCGTCTTCACCTAGGAAATGCTATGATGTGAAAGGGCCAACTTGAGAAGCAGGAGTAATACAAAAGCTCACCACCTACCATATAGGCACAGACAGTTCCACTGTCAGATTAAAAAGCAAACTCAGGGCCCTCCCTGGTGGTGCAGCGGGTTAAAGCACAGCACTGAGAAGCGAAAGCCACTTCAGCATGAGTTTGATCCCTGCCCTGGTGGTGACCCACAGGGTGCGGCAGACCTCTCCTGACCGCCCGCTGCTCCCCTTAGCAGTGGACTTCGTCGATCTGCCTGTTCTGCTCCCCACTCTGTCTCTGGGGAATCCTCCCACTGTCCCTGCAGCTCTGGCCTGTACCCCAGATCTGTATGCATAAAAATACATCTTTTTTCTTAAAAAAAGCAAACTCGGCTACTCAGAGTCTCCCCTGCCCCTCCCTCGGCATGGGGTGTTAGAAAGACACCAGGTAAATGTGAAGGCGTTGCCCAGAGGCACCCAGGCAGTCCAGAGACGGCACTCAGAAAGGGTGGGCTTGCCCAAGAGCTAGGGAATGGTAGACCGCCAAATGCACCAAGCAAAAGCAAGTGTATATGGTATTTATGGACAGCAGCCACTCCCCGGGCCAGACACTCCTGGGCTACCTTGGGAGGCCAGTGTACGTTACCCTCGTTTGCAAGGCAGGGCACCAGCGCGTGAGGGTTAACTGGCCGCCCAAATTCTGGCAACATTGCAAAGCAGCCTGGCTTCTAACGGAGGCCATCTGGCTTGAGCGCCCAGCCCGAAACTAGCAGACGAGACCAAGGACGATGAACAGGCAAGGCGAGAAGGCGAAATCCAAACAGCAAATCGATATATGGAAAGTATCACTAGTAAGCAGTAAAACACAAATTAAATCACCAAGATACCATTTTTCATTCCTTTGGGGCAGACACAGAGAAACAGGCAGGTGACTTCTGACAACCTTTTAGGAAAGTAATAAAAATGCAATAATGTCTGATGAAGAAATTTCACATTGGGAGTTTCTCCTACTGAAATAAGAGCACAGGGATTTAAAATTCGTGTGCCATGACATTCACTGTGAGCTGTCAACAGAGGCTACCCTTGGAAATAATCTCCACGCTCACGGTGGTTGAATGAGGTGCATGATGCCCATATCTGGATATCACGAGCTAGGCAAAGCAGCCCAGCAGACCCGCTGTTACCCAGAGGGTCTTCTGTGAAACACTGACGTGACAGCAAAAGTTTGGAGCAAGATAGAGCTCACGAGCTTTTTTAAAAAACCCTCAAAGCCCTGTATACAACCAGGCCTTTCCTTAAGCCATCAGTCTGGTGAAATAGGAAGGACATTCAGGGGTGTGGAAAAAGATTACGAGGATAGAGGGAAAAGATGAACTTTTCTTTCTACGGTTATGGGTAGTTTTTACTTATCACAGCAAGCACATTTATTGTTATTGTAAAACACCAAGATAACTCTTGTAAAATATACTTTCACAAGAATTGTCCATAAAATACAGTCATAAAAAATTTATCCTGGGCCCTCCCTGGTGGCGCAGCCGGTTAAAGCACAGCACTAAGAAGCTAAAGCCACTTCAGCATGAGTTCCATCCCCACCCCGGAGGTGACCCACATGGCGTGGCAGACCTCTCCTGACCCGCCCGCTGCTCCCCTCAGCAGTGGACTTCATCAGTCGGCCTGTTCTGCTTCCCACTGTCTCTAGTGAATCCTCTCACTGCACCTGTACCCCAGTTCTATATGCATAAACAAATAAATATTTTTTTAAAAAAAGAAGAAGAAAAAGAACCCTCTGTGTGTGCCAGTCTGGAAATATAATTAAGATGCATACTGATGCTTAAAAGACCAAGGCTCGGGGTGGGGTGTGTGATTGTGTGGGTGCTACTGTGGCTTATGTGTGCCTGGTTGTCTCTGGAAGACACTCTGGTGATTAGTGAGTGGCTGGGAAAGAAGTGGAGGAAGAATTTGCGCTCTCTTTAACTCTTTTTTATATTTTAACATTTAAAGGCAATTTGAATAGTGCCCCTGCTGTTATAATAATGGTTATTAATGAGCACTCACAGCATGCAATCACTGACTAACTCAGGAGTCCTCACAAACCTAAGACATAACTACTTTCAGCCCCATTTTACAATGAGTAAACTGACACACAGAGAAGTCCCCGGACACACACATACCACCATGAGTCCAAGACCCCAGGGAGAGCCGGACATGGCCCCTGGGGTCCAGACCCTTACAATCCTGAGTGACAGGTGGCCTCCAAACACACAGTGTCCAGTGTCAGCTACCCAGACCACTCCATAAAACTGTCGTCCTGTGGATGGATCCTCCCTGGTGGTGCAATAGGTAAGGACGCAGCACTGAAAGCTGCCCACAGACGCTTCAATGTGAGTTCTATCCCTGGCCCCAGAGGTGACCCATATGGTGTGGCACACACCTCTCCTGACCCCCCCCCACTGCTCCCCTCAGCAGTATACTTCATCTATCTGCCTCAGTTCTGTATGCATAAATAAATAAACCTTTAAAAAATATTTATCCCGAAGTCTGTGCTGTCCAACACTTCTCAAAGAAACAGAAGAGGTCTGAAATAACCTGGGGTCACCCCATTTTGTGAGAGAGGAGGAAAAGGCCCCATGGCAGCTGCCCCCCCCCCAAAGTCTGTAGAGGTTTGGGGTCAAGGAGAGCCATGGACGAATGGAGGGAGAAAATGCGCCTGGCAGAGTCACTGTCTGTAAAACCCATGTCAGCTCACAGGCCAAAGAGAACTGCTGTGCTCTAAAGCACAAGGCACCCCCCCCCCAAGCCCTGAAGTTAACCCTTCAGCAGTAGGTGTGGCTCAAGAAGCAGGCTTCCAGGACTGTGGGCACCTTCTCTGCCTCCAACTCAATTCTGAGCAGATAAACAGCAGAAAGCGAAAGACTACAGCCAGCAGCATCTTACTTTCAGGATGAGTTATCAAAAAAACATTATGTTGAGATTCGGGTTAAACAGAACAGAGAGGACCAGAAAGACCACCCAATCCTTTGAGGCCAGAACACACACACACAAATTAACGTGTACATATTAATTTAAAGAGCTCTTATGATTTATTTCTACTCTTCCAAAGAATCTAACTGCCCAGGACCATCACTTCATCTTTGGTCTCAGAAAATTTCACAGAATAAGAAAGCTTTGCAGAAAAGGAGGCCCAGAAATGGAAAGCCGGCCGGACAATGCCTCTGCCTTTGCCTCCGTGCAGGGGTGTCATTTCCTGCGCTGGGAGGTACGGAAGGAGACCTCACAGGCTGGGGCTAAAAACCCAGAGAGGTTTCCGACACCGCCTGGGTCCTCACAGTGCTTCTAGGTTTGCTGAGCCTCACTCAGCCTCAGGGAGACAGCACAGGCTGAGCAAACAAGCTGCACCTGCAGATGTGCCTAGAAAGACGTTCAATTGCTCAAAAGAAGGTAGAAGGTCATAGGAAATGAGTGATTTTTGGATAAACATAAAACAAAGATCTGAGAGCAAATTAAGTTGACCAGCTATTCTTTGAGTTAAAAAAAAAACAACAAAAAAACCTCAAAAATAGAAAAGCCGCGGAAGAAAACAGGGTGGGAACGCACAAGCCTTCTGCACACTGTCTCTCCACAAGAGGTGGGACTGTAGCCCAGTGTAGCATCCAGGGAAGCAGAGGGAGAAATCATAGCAGTTGAGTTTACAATCTGATCCTCTTGCCCTCGACTCTGTAGAGAAGAAATCAATTAACTTACCAGTTTGTGTATGCAGAACGTGTATGCTCGCATATGTAGTAAAAATGCTTATCAGATTATGGACTCTGATACTAAAACTTTGTTTCACTGACAACCTGTGTGGCACCATATGAGACAATCAGAGGAAAAGAACAGGTTTTAGGGTAGACCCAGCGTGTCCTGCAGGAGACGGCAATAAAGATGTTCAGAGCCAAATGACTAAAGAACATAACGACCAAGAATATACAAAATGTTCTGAAAACCCAAGTCCATTTCACTCAGATCGTATGTTAAGCCCCCTCTGCTACATTCCAGAATGAGGCATCAGCTATTTTTATACTAAAACAACTTCCTCTCCCTTATATCCTGTTTGGTTATGTCTCAGTCACAGTGGAAAACAAAAGCCAGGGTAACAGGATGAATGAGGCCGAAAGAGGAGGTCACCAGACAGCAGCCTGCAGTTAAGTCACATCTCGACCCCCAGCATCAGCCTCTCCCATTGTCCTCATCCTACTTCTGGAATCTTATAACTGTGGCCTGGTCTCCCACTGGACCAGCTCTTGCACCTTCCTTCCCTGTAGTGATCCCCTCACCCCTCTCTGCTCCAACTAAACTCTCCCTGCCAGCACAGCTGTGTGCCTCAAGTCTCTCCCCCTGCACCCCAACACTCCCTATTTCGTTCTCAGATTGCACAATCATGGAATCCTTCCACGCAGGTACCAACGGCCCCGCCCCAGGCACACTGGAGGGGTTTATCAATAGCCAAGCGGACACTCATGCTCCAGGCCCTGGGCTGCAAAGGGGCTGAGAGCCAGGAGCCCGAGGCCCTCTCCTGGACCCCCTGAGCAGGCAGACACAAGGCAGCGGGTGGGGACAGACACCAGCCCCTCGGAGATTGGAGGCATTAAGTCCAGTGAATGACAGCTCACCTTCTACTTCCCTTTGAGAAAGTAGCTATCTTTTTCTACCTTCCTATCAAATGTTTTTAAAACACTTGCTGGGAGGGAAAACCCAACAGTTGAGTCACTTATAATTTGCAGGATTTAACCCACAGTAAGAAGTGTTTTACATCATATCCTATACACACACACCTTCCGTATCATAGACAGATGTGTCTGACATGTCTATCAACATCAAGGACAATGTATTTTAATACTTGCTATTCAATTCTGCTGAACTTTGTTTCTGAAATCTGGGCCATAGAAGGTTGAGCTGAAAAGGCCTGAAAGGTATGTGCTGCACAAGCCTGTTTGTCGGAAGTGTCTGGGGCGGCCGAAATGAACCTATGGTGACAGAGGTCAACATAAAGGGGGATCCCGGGCCACAGGATAGCGAGCGGGATGCTGAAATGCTCTGTGCACGGGTCTGGGGGAGGTTGTCCAGGTGTACAAAGGTGAGGTCCACAGAGCTCCTCGACTAATGCTGGAGCTATGTAAGCTCTTTGTCCATAAAAATAATCAGAACATGACAACAAAAACAAAAGAAAAAGCAGAAAGAAATGAGGGTCGAAACAGTGAAACCGATTTCACCCACTAAGTCAGCTTCAGCTTACTTGGAGGTTAGTCACAATTTGAAAATAAGTCTAAGTGTTAAAAATTTTAAATCCATACAACCATTACATATACGTGTATATAAATGGCTTTTAACTCTCCTTAGTTCTTAGGATCGAATTGTGCTGGCCAGTGCGGCAGTGAGCGTTCAGAAAGAAGGCACAACTCCTATCTGTCTTCACAAGAAAAATTAATATAGATTTTAATTCATCTGCATTAGGCTCAACTAATGAGTCTCATCTATTGTGTTCACCCAGTAAGTAGAAAGTGACTTTTGCAATTCTGGATTGCTTTGCACAGACTTATCTGCTTCAATAGACAAAACAGGTTCCAATATTTTGCTTTAAGACAGTATGAACCCTTCCACCCCTAAACATCCAGAAACAAGACATGAGATGCACAAAGTTCCCAACACAGGAACATAAACACACCATCCAAAACTCTCCCGAGCTAGGAGGAGCTCGCAATGGCAGCACAGAAATAGCTTTAATAGGCAGGTGCTAAAAAGACTGCGGTGACCGTCAAGTGCTAAAGAAAAACAATACTCAGAAGTCCCCGCCAGGAAGGGAGATTTTATATTTTAAACAGTTGTGTTGTCTTAAAGTAAAGGTCAGAGCTGAATGCGAGTCTATTTATAATTGTATATAGATAACCTCGCTTTCTATGACAGTGTTTAAGAGGTGGGTGTGCAGGGTCTCCATTCCACTGCCCTGGCAAGAAAAGAACAGAAAGGCCCTAAGCGAGTAAGACTATAAAGGGCCAGAGAAGACAAAGATACTTTTCTCACTTAAAAAGAATCATGCATAGATTCACACAAGGACACAAGGATACTCATTGTAGCATTGTTTGCAACAGAAAAACATGAGAAGTAATAGAATAGCTATGATAATACTGAACAACACAATGAAGGGGTGACCCAGACCCAGACACCAACTTGGATGGAGCACAAAAATAGGGCTGATTTTAAAAACACAAGCACATCTAGAATAGTACATTACCATTTATTACATGGCAGTTACTTTTAAGCCTACAAACCACAATCGTTCCTATTATGATGATGGACATATTGGTAAAAACACAAAAATCAAATGAAAGTAAGCCCAGAAATCTCTCAGAGGGCATGTCTCCGCCTGCGGCTGAGGCGGAAGAGACAAAGAATAAAGATGAAGTTTCCAAAGAACTTCAGCTCTAACTGCTATTTTATTTATTTTAAAAACATGGATGCTAGGAAGGTCATATACCACAGGGGTTGAATCTGGGCATAGGAACATGGTTGTGACTCCGCTTTGCGAGGTTCAGTAACTTGTTCGTCTCTCAAGTTACATAAAGCCGACAGAACTTTTTCTTTCATTCTGTGCCCCAGAACAACGGACTCAGCCACGTTTCTTCGGTTCAACGGCACCATTGCCGTGGCTCCATCCCTGAACCGTGTCTGTCCGCGAACCAGGACGATGACATGTGAGAAGACAGAGTCCTGTGCTACTCTCAGGCATCTGCCTGAGTCTGTAGGCTCGTTCCTCAGTTCTCATCACACGGTATTAAAAATTATGCTGAGGAAACATTAAATGATTAGAAGAGAGAACACTTGGTAAGTGGTCTCTGCCAAACAGACTGAACCTTGTCTCAGCTCAGTAATGTCACCTCCCTCCAGCTTCCGGTAGAAAATAGAGGTGATGATAGCAGCCCTACTAGTGACTGAGTAACGGGCAAGTAGGTGTCCTTCCAAGAGCTTCCATCCTGGGCAAATTCACAACACGAGAAACATCTCAATCCTATTCTTTGCAGAGCACAATAGTTAAGATGATGTTACGGGCCCTCTCAGGTGATGCAATGGGTTAAAGCACAGCATGATGAAGCTGTCTGCAGCCACTGCAGTATGAGTTCGATCCCTGGCCAGGAGGTGACCCACATGGCACAGCAGACCGCTCTTGTCCAACCCACGGTTCCCCTCAGCAGTGTATTTCAGTTAACCTGCCTATTCTGCTCCTCAATCTGCCTCTGGTGAATCTGTTCATCCTCCACAACTCTGGCATGTACCCAGTATGCATGAATAAATACATCGTCAGAAAAAAGAAAAAAAACAGATGATGTTACCTTGGCAAGTTCGGGGAGGTAGCTATCTAAACCGGAGCCGGAACCTTCCAATTTTTGTTCATCATCTAAAAGGGCAAAACAGATAACCTAAGTCATTTGTGGCTGAATGTATTTTATAGACAACAGGGAAATAAGTCATTTCTCATCTGTGCCTTTGAACACAGTGGTTTTTAACTCTGATGTGCACCCGAAACACCTGAGCGCTTCTTATAGACAATACCCAGTCCCGTGTAAGCGGTAAATAGTTAGCAAGGGAGGGGCCTCCCTGGTGGCGCAGTGGGTTAAAGCACTGCACTGAGAAGCTAAAGCCACCTCCGCATGGGTTCGATTCCCGCCTGCCCCGGAGGTGACCACATGGTGTGGCAGACCTCTCCTGGCCCGCCCGCTGCTCCCCTCAGCAGTGTACTTCGTTGATCTGCCTGTTCTGCTCCCCACTCTGTCTCTGGTGAAGCCTCTCACCGCCCCGAGCCTCTGGCCTGTACCCCAGTTCTGTATGCATAAATAAATAAATCTTTTAAAAAAAATAGTTAGCAAGGGCTCTGTGCCGCCAGAGATGATACTGACCACAACCCCAGCCCACCTGGCCACCCCCATCAGGCCTGCTAAAAGGGAGGTCTGCCCAAGCCACTGAAATCAGAATCTTTATTGAGGCAAAGCAAAGACTATTTTTAAAAAGCCCCCGGGCATTTCTAAGGCACAGCAACCCGTGAAGGGAAACATGAATGACAAATACAGAGCCAGATTTTTTTCTACCTGCTTAAACCTGAGATTCCTGTCCATCCTAGTTTTGTCTTGAAAAATCCAAGGATCTAGTCAATGAACACAACAATAACTATGATGAGTATTTTAAATGCTGATGTAGCATCAGGCCCTTGAGATACATCATATCCTCTTCTCATCAAGCAGACCTGGTGGCTTTCATTCCCATTTTATGGGGAAGTAAACAGAGGCTCAGAACTGTACTTGCTTGCCCATGGCACTTCCAGGACTTGAACCTGGGTCTCCCATTCGATCCCCTGCAGGAGTTCTTGCCATGACGTGATTCCTTTATAAAATGGAAGCCAGGTAGTAACCGCTGATGTGACTGCTGTCTGCACAGCGTGTCCGTCTGTCCTATCTCCCGTGCGGCCTGTGAGCTGTGTCTGCTTGCTGGGCCCTCTGGCTACCATGAGCGCCGGCCCGGGGGTGCCGTGGGGCGCACGAGGACCCACCTTCATGTGAGTCTCCATTCCGCTTCTCTTGCATGGCAGTTTCAAAGTTGAGTTGGAGAATCTTGTTTAGAATCGTGATCCACTCTTCCATTTCCACTTCACTGTCTGCCGCGAAAAGATAACTACTTTTGTCCTGCATCTTGAGCTCAAAAGCAAAACGTCTGACTTTGTTGTTCTGAAATGGAAAAAGGACAGAAAGAGACATTTGAGAAGAACTGCAACCACCTCCGAGTTTTTCCTCACTGGCGTTCGGACCAGGCTATGGCAAAGGCAAGGCCCTCCCCCAAAGTCCAGCTTCCCTGCCTCCCCTCTTGGCCTTCTCCGTCCTCCCCCCAGAGTCCGGCCTCCCTGCCTCCCTCGTGGCCTTCTCCGTCCTCCCCCCAGAGGCCGGCCTCCCTGCCTCCCCTCGTGGCCTTCTCC